ACACCTACAGCAACTATTCAGCCATGCAAACCCATGCCATGAAGCTTATGCCAATTCTTTCTGCTGATGTTAATGCCAGAGGAGGTGGGGAACTTTGCGTACTCTATCACTGAGTTGCTCCAGTTCTTTAACACTTCCACTGCAATAATACCACTGACAGCTTCTAATGTCTAAGAGGGAAGAAATTTCACAAACTGACTTGTTGCAATGGTGGCATCCTGTTACAGTAAGATGCTGAAATTGAGAAAACTCTTAGAATAACAAATTATTTCAAAAATCTTTATAAAGGCAGATTGCAAGGTTAGGTGCCTGATTTTATACACGTCTGAAAATGGGACTGAAAGCAACCTAATTCAAAAATTAAGAGGTGTGGCACAATATTTTTGGCTATATGGTGTAATACCAACAAACTTCCATGTGTTTATTCCTCCCACAATAAACATATTCAGCTGACTTAATTTCACTCCTTGTTTTTGCTGCTGTGGCTCCTAATCAAAAAGAAATCCATACCATTGAATATTAGATCTAGAAGTATTCTCTAAGTATGTGATTTGTATAAAAGGCTTTAAACCCCCAAATCAGCCTCTGAATAAAACTCTACTCCTCAGGGTCTGACAGACACAAAGATAGTGAGCAGCAACTCACAGTTCAGCCCCATCTCTGTCCTGCGGGTTCCCAGCCAAGCAGACCTCAGCCAGGCCTACTCCCAGCATTCCTTGCACCGCAGTGTAAGTCAGCTAATTGACAGGAAGTCAATGATGATGGAGGAAGGAAGCTGGGACAACCCACTGGCACACGATTCTGGACTGGTGAGTATGGAGTTATGTTTATTATGAATTTCATTTGTTAACTACAAGTACAGAAGAGAGTAGTGATAACAATACAAACATTTATGCTAATTATTCACCAGCCTCCTCCTCTTTTATTATAAAGTCATAAGAATTTACAATATTATGTGTTTAAAGTTTTCATTAGTATCATTGCCTAGAAAATATATGATAAGACTTGAACAAAGTTGCTTTGGGATTGTGGGTTTGACTTGCTTAATTCCTAGATGGATGCAGAATCAGTAAAATTGTACCAAAAAACAGAAATATGGACAGCTGAAAATTGCTGTTTTCATGCTTACTTTATTGTTTCTCTGATTGTTTTCCCCTCTTCTTTGATTCAGACCTAAATTTTGCGATCTTGTGTGGTTTTTTTCAGTATGTGGAGGAAGATGAGCTTGTGGATGCCATCAAGGCCTTAAGTTCTGTGAAAAAGGAGCGCACCATGTTCACTGACACTCATCTTTAAGACCTGTCAGGTTTCACAGTTGCCATTCAGACCTAGTTGTAAAACAAACTAGTAAAACACTGTTACATGCTATTTGCATAGGCGGCGCTAAATACGATCTACTCAATTTAAGCTATAAGTTAAACAACACATGTTTTATGAGGTATTAATTAAAGCATCATCATAAACTTTCTGTCACTTCGTTAGGTATACCTTTTCAACTTCTCATTAACTCACTAAATATTTAATCAGGCAATCATATGGCAACAATTAAATGCATTTAGACACGTAGACACAGACAAGATGAGCTGCTGAAGTTCAAACTAGCATCAGAATGTGGAAGAAAGGGGATTTAGGTTAGAATGAATGTGGCATGGTTGTTAGTGCCAGACCAGCTGGTCTGAGTTTTGCAAAAACTGCTGATTTACTTACTTTTTTCACAAAATCATCTTTAGGGTTTCCAGAGAATGGTCTAAAAAAACAAAAGAGTGAAAAACTGTGAAAAATTTATATTTTCTGTTTTTCAGACCAGTGTCAGCTGTCTGGGCAAAAATCCCTTGTTGATCGTAGAGATCAGAGGAGAATGGCCAGGCTGTTTTGAGCTGATAGGAAGACGAGAGATACTCAAATAACTTCTCATTACAGTCAGTGTATGTAGAAGAACATCTCTGGTGCCTCTCCTGTCACCTAAGAATAGGAAACTGAGGCTACTCATCACAGTTGGTTAATTGAAGATTGGCAAGTGTTGCCTGATCTGATGAGTCTGGATTTCTGTTGCAATGGTAGGGTGAGAATTAAGTGTAAATAACATTAAAGTATAGATCCATCCTGCATTGTAACAGTGGTTCAGACTGCAGGTGGTGCTGGTGTAATAATGTGGGGGGAATTTTCTTGACACATATTTTCTTGGGATATTTTCTGGGCCCGTTTACCAATTTAGCATAATGTAAATGACAGTCTACCTGAGTATTGTTGCTGACTCAGCAAGTCACAAAGCTCAAATCATTTCAAACTGTTTTCTTGAACATCAGATGGAGTTCACTGTACTCAAATGGCCTCCACAGTCACTAATCTCAGTCCAGTAGATCATCTTTGGGATGTGGTAAAAAATAAGAGTCACATCATGGCTGTGCAGCAGACAAATCTATCATGTCAATATGGACCAAAATCTCTTAGGAATGATTCCAGCGCCTTGTTGAATCTATGCCACGAAGAGTTAATGTAGTTCTAAAAGCAAAAGCGGGTTCCACTCATTACTCGTAAGGTGTACCTAATGAAGCAGCCAGTGAGTGGATATAAGTAATATATATTAATATTTTGACAAATTTCAGGTTCAGAGTTGTAAACACATAACCAAACATAATGTGGGAAAGAGAATATAATACAAGTATAATACAAGTATAATAAGTATAATTTTAGCCCACTTTGTGTATGACTTGAATACAGTTCACATGTGGACACAGTCAGCAGTGACATAAAATCGGTCATTATTCCGAGTCTGTTCGTGATTGTTATCCAGTGTGTAGTATCAGACCGTGCTTATATAACGGTCCAGAAGAGCCCTTAAAGGACTGTTCTGATTGTATTATGATACACTGTTTGCCAACTGTTAGAGGTTTAGTCGTTTTTGAAAAGTGCAGATTTACTTTAGCAGGTTTACCACCTGAGACCACCATAGAAATGAATGTTAATTAATCTGAGTCTATTCCTCGTCAACCAGTAATTATGCCTAGTAAGCTTTCACAGTATAGGAGCTGTAGTTGTAATGAGAAACATGGGCTTGATGTAGTTTTATTATAAAAAAAAATGCCAACTGTTTTTTTTTTTAATGTGTTGAATGTGGCTGGGAATCACAGATGTGCCGTCTGATTGTTGCGATTATGCGAACTTGAAAGCTCAGTCTGAAATTCGGTGTGTGTGCCGTTCAGTGCAATTTCAGTTTTGAGGAAGTGGCAGTAATGTAGTCAAGTCTTTCTTAGCTGTAAGTCAAGATACACTTTTGGGTTTCAAAGTGCATTCGTCTGGATTCTGTGTTATTTGTGGCTTTTGGTCATTTTCATCCTGCTATTAAGAAGATCAAAGTAAAAGTGGCAATTTAATTGTTTAGTTGGCTTTTTTTAATGCAGAAATGAAACATCGCTTATATTAGATTGAACATAGAGACAGTATTTATTAATAAGAGGTGTTGGCTTTCTGTGTAATATTGATGAGTTTGATGTTTTGTGTACAATATTGATGCCTATTGTATTATTACAAAATTATTTTTCTTCTTTTTTTACATGATGACAGTATTATTTATGATTGTTGTATTTACAAAAGTCTTATTTATAGATGATTCATTTGTCTGTGGTTGTGTTTTTATCTGGTAAATGATAAATTTGACTATCAAAAAAATATTCTTCTTGTGTTCTTGCCTCTCATTTTCTTTAAGGGTTTTTTTTGCCATAAATAAATGCAGTATTCTTGTGTCAAGCAAATTATGAACCAATCTTTTAAAGAGTCAGACCTCTTGTAGCATTTAAAAGATCCACAAATGTACCAGATTAATCTTCAAGCTAATGAGGTTTAAATATTAATAAAATAATGTAGAAATACATACAAGTTCCAAAAAGCAAAATAGCTTGCTTATAAATAATCCTTAAAATGTATGTAGCACTTTAAATGTGCCTCAGTTGCTGTTTACACACAGTATTAACGATGGTTAAATACTACTGGATGTTACATAATGAATGAAGTCACTCTATTAAAAGGGGCTCCATGGTGATCTAGCTGAAATGTAGATTTAGGAAGCCTCTTTTCTGCTGAGTTAGTATAACACAGAATTGTGCCACCAGCTGCACAGGGACTCAGTTACCACACACACAGAGTCAAAAACACAAGCACAAATACACACAGGGCCGGTGTCTCCATCAAAACTATGCAGCAGTAATTTAGTTTTGCTCCTGCGTCCCTTGAGGGGACATCAAGGCAAGTTTGAAATTAACAAAGTGGCAGTAACAAGCATGCCCTCGCTCAAGGACACCAATCTGACAAGGGCACTTCTAAAACATTCACAGCCACATTCACAGCTATTGTCAGCCACAGAGTAGGGGGGAGAGGCTGTGAAAAGAGAGCTTGTGGAGTGATTGTAAGGGACAGTATGGCCCTGAGCCACACACACACACACTCAGGGTTTTATTAAACTCATAAATCACAATGACGACAGACGCCATCGCAGAGAGGAGACTGTCTGAACGGGAAGGTTAGTGAAATGAGCGCGCTGGGGAGACACACATACACACCTTTGTGACACTCAGACAAAACAACAATTGCGCACTCTTAGTTATCCATGCAAACCTTACCCAGCCGTGACTGACTTACGACTTACGTCAAAATTTTAAGTGGTGAAACTATCATAAATTCACTTTTCTTTCAAGGATCTCATCATTTTTGTACATTTAGGAAAATCTAATCCTAAAAAAAACACCCGAACAGCATTTGTTATAAGATTAATCCTGATATCGCTTTGATGATATCTGCCCAGAAATCTCGACTGAAATGGTTCAAGACCGATGAAACATGATTCGTATGCACTGATAAATAAAGTAAATTGGAATAAAAAGGTATGTTTCTATCTAAATATAAATGTAAATTATGTAAACAGTTGAATATTTTTTAAGAATAACAATGTGAACTTATAAAAATGAAAAAAAAATCTGTAATTTTAAGAAAGAAGCGAAACATGCTGAGTATAATCAGACGTTTTAGTGAACACAGTGGTAGTTTCAATTGCACGAACAATGTGACTCTACAGCAACTTAATATTCGATCATTACTCAATGCAGTGGTAAATAATATCGCGTAATGTATACACAATGTAGAAAACAAGAATGCACAGGCCTTTTTAAATAAACAGATATGTATTTCTTTGAGCTCATTAGCATCTGGCTGCCATATAATGTAAACATAGCCAGGGGAGGTTAAAGAGCAACAGATAAGAGACACTGCAGAAGATAAACAAATAACTATGTGCAGAAATACTCATTTAACTCCATGTTTCTATAGAAAATAAACATTAGCAGGTTACTGTAACATTAGTCTTCATAGCGCAAATGCAAATGATGTTAGGTCCGATAGCATGATTATATTAATATAGGCCTTATGTTTGTATGAACAGCGTATACATCAACACACCATTAGACAAATCAATGCATCCGCATCAGGATTTTGTTCTGATTACACGTCCACATTTCACACACTTAATGTATCAAAATGTTACATCTTTGTACAAGCCGTTAGCACACGGTCAGTTCTGTCGTCATTCAGAAATGATTACCAGTGAAACATGTTACATTACTGCTGCTTTTGGAATAGTGTGATTAATATTTCAGGACATGGCTATGCTAATTAAGGTCGTCACTCACAGATATTTTTTGTTTCCAACCCTATATGGTAAGCCTGAAACTAAAAGTACAAGTTACATTTTAAAAAAAATATATAAAATCCCCCATCTTGGGAGGAAGTTTCGACTTTCCGATCTTAATGCATGTGAGGGTTATGTGCAATGTAGTCTGCTAATGTAATGTTAAGTGCCCACGTATCAGCCACAACATCCGGACATTTACTGTTCTCAGTATTGTAATGTTTATATGTTGCCAGTGCTGGCTAAAGACAGTGTGATGAAGAGCTGAAAGACTTTAAAACAGTTCACCTACTTTTTTCATATTCAAGATCTCTTTGTTTCCCTGGAACAAATTGGGGAATTTTTTTTAAAAAAAAAAGCAACTACAATATAATAAACATCAGTATCACTGTCGATCCAGAATTTCACAGTACACTCATCGGTAAATCCCTAATTACTTAATATTTAATGCCACTCTTTACATCTATTTTATCCCGCAGTAAAATCATAACACAATTCTAGCCAACAGCGACGTGGGCAGGTCTGTAACGTGCCTCCACAATGAGCTCCGTCTTCACAAGCATTTGGTCACAATTTTTTTCAATTAAAACACATTAACGGACTGATAACCGCCAAACAAGTTACATAAGGCACTGCAACAGTCATTCAACACAACACACATTTTATACCTGTTTCAAAGGGAGTAAAGTGATGTAGTGTAGGTCCTTGTTTTAGCATGAGTGTAGTGTGAAAATAAAAAAATAAATAATTAGAGTGATCTCGCACAGGCACCACTGTGAAAATAATAATAATAATAATGATAAAGCAAGAACACAAACGGTTCCTCTTACTTGTGAACTATAACAACAAGCTGACAATAAAATGTGTTCTTTCTCTCTGTTGAGACAAGAAGAACTTGACTTTCTATACCACAAAATACTAAAAAAGACATTTGCTTTTACTATTTTGTGTAAATATAATTTTTTTTAGCTTCGAGCACTGAATTATCTTCTTTGAATTCCACATATAGATCGTCTAATAAAATACCTCACATTTTTTTAACATTGCAGTCCAACGCTTCACACAACTGTTTCATTTTTTGTCTTGTTTGAGGATCAAAGAGCCTGTTGAACTGCAATTAGCATAAAAGGAGATTAACAGTGTAACTTGACTGGAACTAACGGGTAAAACTGTGCCGGCTGAAGTGAAAAGCAGGCACTCGTCCACACGGGGGTTCGACGTTTTTGCAGGCCGTTATCCACGTAGATTTCAGTTTGAATCGCCCGGGAACCACTGTTGCATAGTACTGAGCTGTCATATCGCAAACTCTGTAAAGTTGTATCGCCTGCTTGAACTGCTCGCTCTCTATTGGCTTTTTAGTGTTGTTGCTTTAACAACAATAACTACTGTTAACTACTAACCCTGTGTCCCAAAGTATTCTAGGATCCAAGTATCTGCCTAGAATTCTAGTGAAGGTAACACATTTAAGGTAAGTAAAAATCGATTGCACGACAAATTGCACATAGTGTCAGAGATGCTTGATATAATCGTGGCCTCTGGTTCGGGGTCTGATCAATTCCACTGCTCTAGTGCTGAACGGATCAGTCAGCCAATCAGGTGATCAATCACCAAATGGGGTCTAGTTTTACTGATTTGTTCCCTTTTTATACCATTATAAGTGAAATAGTTTGTGATAGGTAACATGTTATGACACTGTTTTAGACTAAAACATCTAAAAGGACTTATATGATAATAGAAGTAACTGTTAGTTACAGATATGAAGACAGATCAGGTTCTGAACAAAGTAATGCATACCTGATATAGGTTATTAGAAACACTTTGAAATATCTTGGTAAATGGTTAGTTACTGTTAGTGCTGTGGTATGTTATTAATGTTAATTAGTTCATGTTTTCACATTTAGAAGTGACCAACCACTCCTTCAACCGTACCTTGTCAAACAGACTTTTGTCCTGTTCTTGTAGTGGCTGTGTGTTCCTTAAGATGTTGAGTGAGCAACATCATAAAAGGAAGAAAAAACACATTTTCTTTCCAGGACTGAGCCAGCAAACGATCTGATTTATGCCTAAAACTTAAAGTGCTAACAAGATTATCAGCAATCTGTTAAGACAGCCTAAAATAAACACAAACAGAGACAGGAGGAGCATCACTGGCACCTGGCAGATTTTTACGAGTGTGAGTAATCTAAGAAAAAAAAGAAATGCATTCCTGCCCTGACAGTGATGTTAGCGTTGGGATGTTGTATATTTATGTTGCGCTCAGTATAACATGGCAGCACTCCTGTTGTGTGGGATTTGAAGAGAAACGAACATCCTGAACCATACTTTAACAAGGCTGTTGTGGAGGCGGAAAGGGCTGTCGCTGCTTTTTTGCTTCGTGTTCCTCTTTTGCTCTTAAATTCTGTTATCGTGATCACCTAGAGGGTGTACCTCTACGAGATAACTTCCACTGAGAGCAAGAGAAAAGGCGCCCTCACAGGCTGCTGTCCTGGCTGGATGGCTCAGGTACCAGCTTCCTGTGTCGTGGTGAGGTGGACAGTTTGGTGGGGGAAGGAGAGGCGTTTGAAGAAGAGTCACTCCCACCGCCTTCTGATCCAGAGGGGACAGAGGCAAGGTGTGGAACTGGAGGAGCCCTCTTTCTCCCAAGAAAGCTTCCTTCCAGTACTCCCCTTTTCCTCACACCTCCATCAACCTTCACTGCGTCTCCTCCCGATGCAGGAGCCTCTCCTTCTTCTGACTGAGCATGTACCTTTCGCCTGACGTCACCTCCTGGAATTGGGCTGTCTGGAGGCTGCCGTGCAGATTCCTGACTGGATTCAGCTTTTGTGGCAGATACTCCAGACGCTCCAGCTGTTGTGTTACAGCTTGCACTTGTGGTACGGGAAGCCCACAGCTCCAAGACTGAGGCTCTCCTCTCACTGTCTTCAGGCCCAAAGTCACAAAGAGAGCGGCGGGCATCAGGGGTCTGCCCTGTGCTGTCCAGGACACCTCGAGTCAGGCTGAAGTTCTGGAAGTCTCTACGAAAGCATGATAATATAGACAGTCACCGCTAGATAGATAATGGAAGATAATGCAAACAGGGACAACTCAGCATTTCCTGAACTTACATTAGTAGAGCATAATCAAATTACTATGCTATTGAAATGCCAAGCAAAGCGACTATAAAGCCAAGTGCTTCTGTTATTGTAAGGCACCACAAAGTTTCCATCTCTCCCTGCTCTGTCGTCAGCCAGAGCTCTTCTTTGGCGAAACACAGCATTGTGGGTGAAGAACAACTGATTTAGAAAGTGGTTAAATCGCACAAGAAAAACACTCAATCTTGCTTACTAGTCTCAATATTTGGGTTTTGTTTTTTGGGGGGGGGTTAAGTTTTGAAATCCTAAAGTTATCACCTTAGTATACTCTTATTTGAACCCTTCTAGTATAAGTGTTTGATAAATGATATTTCACCGGTAGCTGTGGAAGGACTCAGTTCGACGAGCACGGGCCAGCAGGGGGCTCTCTCTGTAGGGTCGCACAGCTCCATATGTAGCCTGGGTCTCGGGAATGGGCTCCGGTGCCTGTAACTGCAGACTGATGAGAGAAAAAGAAGAAGTCTTTTATGTTCATTCAAACACATCTTCTGATATTTCAGACGGCATATATAGGTTTGTAACCTCAATAAATGAGTGCTGTCTTTCTAACCTCGAACAGGACTCTCGGAGGCGTGTGTGGTGTAGCAGAGAGGGGGCGGGGCTAATGTTAGGTGTCGCACAGCGGGAGGTGCTCAGGTCGCACTGGTCCAACAGCTGTAGCAGCTCCTCCTCTGTAGGCCCACCTATATCTATCAGAAACAAGAGGAGCCTCGTATTAAAAACTTACTGTTTCATTAAAACAAACGCAACATTCGCCTTCACATTTCTGGCTTTTCACTAATCTCTCTCCTTCCTCACCCTCTTTCTTCCTCTCTTCTCCTTTATTGGCGGTGTCCATCGCAGTGGTCAGGTCCCACATTTGGATGCTGCCATTGCCGTGACCTGTGAACAGATAACGGCGAGGTCGGGACCCCATTCGACTGGAGCCCTCACACTCCCGTACCATGAAGCAAGTGATGGTGGTCCCATCCACTGACTGCACTTCGCAGATCCTGAGACACAAATAAAAACGTTAAATGAAATTAAGCCACGCAACCACAAAGACAAAAACTCAGTCATTTACCGGTAGTACATTTTAAAAAGAAGTGCCAAGATCCTAAAGGGACATTTAATGAAAGAAAAAAAGTATCATGTATGTCAGATAATAGGAAACAAAGTCAGATAAAGGTCAGGGGAGCAGAGACGCAGGGCATTGTACCTTTTCCCAGTTGATGAGAGCCTCACAAACAGTTTGTTGGTGATGGGGATCACCTTCTGGATAAAAACTTGCTGATCATCTCTCTCTCCAAAAGGACCTGAGAATAAAAAGCCACCTCAGTGATGTTAAGATACTGCACAAATACTGCAAAAGCCACTACGTAAGGTGGTTAATCACAATTAAAGTTTCGTTTATTTCAGTGTCACTCCATGGAGCTTCACCAACATATAGATACATTTTCAGTTAAGGTTAATAACGATGATGATGATGACCGGTAACTCTAACCCTATTTTGCACAGGGTGGGATTTGTTGTTTATCTTATCAGTGGTGGATTAAAGAAGTTCATGTGTATTACAGTGCAAACACACTTTTTAACTCTCTCACCTATATCATTCCCAGAGCCGTAGCTCCCGTGACTCTCTGCTTCCTCCAGAGACAGAATCTTGAAGGAAGCTAGAGGGGTGGAGCCTGGTTGTGTGGAGATCATCCCTCTGAAGCGGGTTACTGTCCACGTCCGAACGTGGTTGTTATCTGCACACACTGACAGACACAAATACACAACCACATAAGATGCAGGCAGCTGTTATCCTATAAAATCCTCTATAGCCCACACATAGACAGGGATACTGCCTGCAACACCTTCCTCACCTGATACCAAATGTTTCTCAGACAGCATGATCTTTGTCACTGGGCTCCTGTGCACAGTGAAGGTCTGAAAGAGCTGGGGTCCTGAGCCTACTGTCTCTGGGTGTTGCACGATCACTCTCACTGCTCCACTACTAGTCCCATAGGCTATCTCGATCCAGTTCCCACTCACACCTGAGAGTAGGAGCAGTGGAAAAACAAAAAGCACAATATAAATATGTACAACTAAGTAACGGTCATTTTTCTGTGGGAAGAAAAACTTGCCCACTCACTGGTTTTAGGTGTGAGGTAGACAGACAGTGCAGTGATGGCGTCATTGGATGGGTCGTGATAAAGCTCGGTCACCAAAAGATCGTTGTCTTTCATCCTCAGAGGAAATTTTTGCATGTCTGAAAAGAAGAAGAAGGTTACATGTTAGCGTGTCTTTGTTGGGGTTTTATAAGCCCTTCACTGAATCATTCACTGACTCAGATCCTGGAATGAATCCTCTTTAATCTTTTAGAGGGCGGTGGGGGAGGCCATGGTTGTTTTATAAGCATTTCATAGAGAATGATGAATGCATGAAGCCAAAAGACATCTGTGTTTATTAGAACTGTTCCAGAATATTTTACTATTTTGTTTGTTTGTTTTTTATCTTACAGGTATTCATTTTTAATCTGCTTCAGTGCCTGAAATTTTGGATAGGCACAACAGTGATCATCATGGATCAAAGTTACCAAGTTGCTCCTGGTTTGAAGAGAAAAAGCAAGGGCAGTACTGCTTGGCTCACACAGAGAGGAACACCTCTGTCTGTGGCATTTGACAAGACGTAAGAGTGATCACTTTACTCGTGCACTTAATTTTAAGTTATGTAAATAGTCATTATGTTAAACCTGGTTTTGGTTACCCTCCGTTAATTATCACAAAAAAAATTAAATGTATCATTGTTTTGCAGCAGGGGCGTCCACTGGAATAAAAAAAATCCATAAACTGTGTAACAGACAGAAAAAACATAAACCTGTGTGTGTGTACCTATGTAGTAGATAGAGCCATTGTTACAGCCCAGTAGCAGGAAGGATCCTGCAGTGTCACAACTGGTGATGGGAACCACATCTTGAACCTAACAAGAAAAAAAAAGGGAACTAAAAATCAGTTCAGTACTGGTGCCTCTCACTAGGAAGCGAATCTAAGTTAAACAAATGCACAATTCAATTATTCAGCATATCATTTTTAATAAACACAAACAAGGAAAATCACAAGCACTCAGCCCTCTCTGTGTTTTACTCACATACGCTCTCCTACCTGCCAGTGTTGTGTGACAGCGTTCCACACTCCAACCTTTCCTGTATGACTGGTAGCCACCAGCTGGTTCCCGATAAAGAAGAGATCGTCAACAGGTACGCCGAGACTGAAAATCCCTGGGGCAGCGCGTGGAGAGAATGAACTTTAACAAAGTTGTAGAAAGCCGGAAAACGTGAATGTAGACTAAAGGTGAAGTCAGAGATTGAAGGAAGTTACGGGTGATACAAAATGGTATGTATGTATACCTATTAAAAAAATCTATCCTAAAGCTTTAAAATGGGGGGAGGGTGTTTCTGTTTATTTGTTTTTTGTTAGCCTACCTATCTCATTACCGCTGCCTCCATCTTGGATACTCCAGAGGATGATACTGCTTTCAGAGGCGGCAGCCACCATCTTGTCTTTATCTCCGTGTGGGCCACCCACCACCTTTGCATTGAGTGCAATACGTTCAATGGTCCAGTCAAGGTAGGGAGAGGAAAACACCTGCTGCCATCCAGAGGATTCCTTTATCCTGCAGAGAAAGGAACACAGAAATACTTTTTACCCTCTGATTATTTTTATGCCTTTCTCGTTAAGTTTTTAAATTGAGAGTGACAAACATGCACCTCTGCACTGGAACAGTTGGATTTGGTTAAGATTAAAGAAGTCTGATATATGAGCTTTCATAAATGTGAGAGTACATACCCACTCTTATTACACCTAATAACATTTTTACCAGGTTGTCCATGTTGTAAAAAAAATGATATTCGCAAAAAGAATCAATTTAACTTGAATAAAACCAAAGATGACAGCTTGAATGCTGGCACTCAGAAACATGAGACATAAAAGACAATGAATGCATGTGTGCATTATAAATTATTTAATGTGTCCCACTTTTGAGCTAGAGCTGTATGAGAAATGTTGTAATATTACCTGTAGCAGATTACAAAGTGCGCATAGGCTGCTACAATCCAGTTGTGGTGTCCTGCTATAATCAGCACCTTCCTAGGGTCAACCATGGGACCTGCACACACAAACAAAACACCATTAACCTCATGTTTTAGCGAGACTTTTTTCTGCCTAATTACTCATTTATTGGTTTCTAAATTACCAAAATTTGATTCAGATTTCTAAAAGCAGCCAGATACTCTACTCTCTGTTTATTACCTCTAATATGTACATCACATGATACCATCATTAGCAAGGAGCAGACCAATTTGAAACTAGGCTACTTCAGTGAGTGCTACTAACGCTCTAAAATTATCATATTAGCTCCAGCAGTGATGCACGCACACACACACACACACACACACACACACACACACACACAAACACACTGTACATGAACTGAACTCTCTTACTGGCATATAGATACTGATGTGCCACACATACGACTGTATCATAACTGTTCTTGCTCCTTCACATGCAGTAGATGCACAGTTGTTGGGGAAGGCAGAAGGCAGACCGCTGTTTCTACTGACAAGTCACCAGTGTTGGGAAGGTTACTTTTAAAATGTATTCCATTACAGAATACAGAATACATGCCCC